TACATGGGTTATTTTAAGTTACAGTACATGGGTTATTTTAAGTTACAGTACATGGGTTATTTTAAGTTACAGTACATGGGTTATTTTAAGTTACAGTACATGGGTTATTTTAAGTTACAGTACATGGGTTATTTTAAGTTACAGTACATGGGTTATTTTAAGTTACAGTACATGGGTTATTTTAAGTTACAGTACATGGGTTATTTTAAGTTACAGTACATGGGTTATTTTAAGTTACAGTACATGGGTTATTTTAAGTTACAGTACATGGGTTATTTTAAGTTACAGTACATGGGTTATTTTAAGTTACAGTACATGGGTTATTTTAAGTTACAGTACATGGGTTATTTTAAGTTACAGTACATGGGTTATTTTAAGTTACAGTACATGGGTTATTTTAAGTTACAGTACATGGGTTATTTTAAGTTACAGTACATGGGTTATTTTAAGTTACAGTACATGGGTTATTTTAAGTTACAGTACATGGGTTATTTTAAGTTACAGTACATGGGTTATTTTAAGTTACAGTACATGGGTTATTTTAAGTTACAGTACATGGGTTATTTTAAGTTACAGTACATGGGTTATTTTAAGTTACAGTACATGGGTTATTTTAAGTTACAGTACATGGGTTATTTTAAGTTACAGTACATGGGTTATTTTAAGTTACAGTACATGGGTTATTTTAAGTTACAGTACATGGGTTATTTTAAGTTACAGTACATGGGTTATTTTAAGTTACAGTACATGGGTTATTTTAAGTTACAGTACATGGGTTATTTTAAGTTACAGTACATGGGTTATTTTAAGTTACAGTACATGGGTTATTTTAAGTTACAGTACATGGGTTATTTTAAGTTACAGTACATGGGTTATTTTAAGTTACAGTACATGGGTTATTTTAAGTTACAGGACATGGGTTATTTTAAGTTACAGGACATGGGTTATTTTAAGTTACAGGACATGGGTTATTTTAAGTTACAGTACATGGGTTATTTTAAGTTACAGGACATGGGTTATTTTAAGTTACAAGACATGGGTTATTTTAAGTTACAGTACATGGGTTATTTTAAGTTACAGGACATGGGTTATTTTAAGTTACAGGACATAGGTTATTTTAAGTTACAGGACATAGATTATTTTACGTTACAGGACATAGGTTATTTTAAGTTACACGACATGGGTTATTTTAAGTTACAGTACATGGGTTATTTTAAGTTACAGGACATGGATATTTTAAGTTACAGGACATAGGTTATTTTAAGTTACAGGACATGGGTTATTTCATGTGAGGCACTATATAAATCCAGAATTATTATTATTATTATTATCATGGTACAGGACATTAGTCATTTTAAGTAATATAGGACATGGGTTATTTTCCCGACATTTTTGCTTGCTTGAGGCCTTCTGCGACTTGGGGAGACTTGGGCCCTGTGTCAAAATAAAGTTGAACATCTGATCTTGATTGATTAATTAGTTTTTTGATTGGTTGTTTAAATAACTAAATTGCATTTTTTTTTCTCTTTTAGTGCTTTGGCTGTATTTAATGATTCTGATGAAGAAATTGTCATGAATATTGAATGCAGTAAATTGGAATGAACAAGATGTAAAGTGGTTGATAATTTTTTAATGTAAGGTAGAAAATTGGAAATACTCAGACATGCCATAGATCTGTGGAAATTCCTGCCACAGGTTAGAGTTGCAGTAATTTGACATAATATGCACTTTTGTCTAAATGTGAGGTCTCACCACGAAGTGAGACGCATCGTTGGTGAAATCATATTGAGATATTCACCAAAATAGGTCAAAGGCAACATTTTTACAAAATTTTGATTTTAATGTTTTTGAATAACTTGGAACTTATATTTTATGATTGTGTACTTTTTAAGTGAGTTTTGCTTTTTAAAACATTTGTAGGTTAAGGAAGGTTCATAGAACCATCAGAAGACGTTTGATTTGATTTTCATGTAAAATTATATATACGTAGACATGGGTTATTTTAAGTTACAGGACATGGGTTATTTTAAGTTACAGGACATGGGTTATTTTAAGTTACAGGACATGGGTTATTTTAAGTTACAGGACATGGGTTATTTTAAGTTACAGGACATGGGTTATTTTAAGTTACAGGACATGGGTTATTTTAAGTTACAGGACATGGGTTATTTTAAGTTACAGGACATGGGTTATTTTAAGTTACAGGACATGGGTTATTTTAAGTTACAGGACATGGGTTATTTTAAGTTACAGGACATGGGTTATTTTAAGTTACAGGACATGGGTTATTTTAAGTTACAGGACATGGGTTATTTTAAGTTACAGGACATGGGTTATTTTAAGTTACAGGACATGGGTTATTTTAAGTTACAGGACATGGGTTATTTTAAGTTACAGGACATGGGTTATTTTAAGTTACAGGACATGGGTTATTTTAAGTTACAGGACATGGGTTATTTTAAGTTACAGGACATGGGTTATTTTAAGTTACAGGACATGGGTTATTTTAAGTTACAGGACATGGGTTATTTTAAGTTACAGGACATGGGTTATTTTAAGTTACAGGACATGGGTTATTTTAAGTTACAGGACATGGGTTATTTTAAGTTACAGGACATGGGTTATTTTAAGTTACAGGACATGGGTTATTTTAAGTTACAGGACATGGGTTATTTTAAGTTACAGGACATGGGTTATTTTAAGTTACAGGACATGGGTTATTTTAAGTTACAGGACATGGGTTATTTTAAGTTACAGGACATGGGTTATTTTAAGTTACAGGACATGGGTTATTTTAAGTTACAGGACATGGGTTATTTTAAGTTACAGGACATGGGTTATTTTAAGTTACAGGACATGGGTTATTTTAAGTTACAGGACATGGGTTATTTTAAGTTACAGGACATGGGTTATTTTAAGTTACAGGACATGGGTTATTTTAAGTTACAGGACATGGGTTATTTTAAGTTACAGGACATGGGTTATTTTAAGTTACAGGACATGGGTTATTTTAAGTTACAGGACATGGGTTATTTTAAGTTACAGGACATGGGTTATTTTAAGTTACAGGACATGGGTTATTTTAAGTTACAGGACATGGGTTATTTTAAGTTACAGGACATGGGTTATTTTAAGTTACAGGACATGGGTTATTTTAAGTTACAGGACATGGGTTATTTTAAGTTACAGGACATGGGTTATTTTAAGTTACAGGACATGGGTTATTTTAAGTTACAGGACATGGGTTATTTTAAGTTACAGGACATGGGTTATTTTAAGTTACAGGACATGGGTTATTTTAAGTTACAGGACATGGGTTATTTTAAGTTACAGGACATGGGTTATTTTAAGTTACAGGACATGGGTTATTTTAAGTTACAGGACATGGGTTATTTTAAGTTACAGGACATGGGTTATTTTAAGTTACAGGACATGGGTTATTTTAAGTTACAGGACATGGGTTATTTTAAGTTACAGGACATGGGTTATTTTAAGTTACAGGACATGGGTTATTTTAAGTTACAGGACATGGGTTATTTTAAGTTACAGGACATGGGTTATTTTAAGTTACAGGACATGGGTTATTTTAAGTTACAGGACATGGGTTATTTTAAGTTACAGGACATGGGTTATTTTAAGTTACAGGACATGGGTTATTTTAAGTTACAGGACATGGGTTATTTTAAGTTACAGGACATGGGTTATTTTAAGTTACAGGACATGGGTTATTTTAAGTTACAGGACATGGGTTATTTTAAGTTACAGGACATGGGTTATTTTAAGTTACAGGACATGGGTTATTTTAAGTTACAGGACATGGGTTATTTTAAGTTACAGGACATGGGTTATTTTAAGTTACAGGACATGGGTTATTTTAAGTTACAGGACATGGGTTATTTTAAGTTACAGGACATGGGTTATTTTAAGTTACAGGACATGGGTTATTTTAAGTTACAGGACATGGGTTATTTTAAGTTACAGGACATGGGTTATTTTAAGTTACAGGACATGGGTTATTTTAAGTTACAGGACATGGGTTATTTTAAGTTACAGGACATGGGTTATTTTAAGTTACAGGACATGGGTTATTTTAAGTTACAGGACATGGGTTATTTTAAGTTACAGGACATGGGTTATTTTAAGTTACAGGACATGGGTTATTTTAAGTTACAGGACATGGGTTATTTTAAGTTACAGGACATGGGTTATTTTAAGTTACAGGACATGGGTTATTTTAAGTTACAGGACATGGGTTATTTTAAGTTACAGGACATGGGTTATTTTAAGTTACAGGACATGGGTTATTTTAAGTTACAGGACATGGGTTATTTTAAGTTACAGGACATGGGTTATTTTAAGTTACAGGACATGGGTTATTTTAAGTTACAGGACATGGGTTATTTTAAGTTACAGGACATGGGTTATTTTAAGTTACAGGACATGGGTTATTTTAAGTTACAGGACATGGGTTATTTTAAGTTACAGGACATGGGTTATTTTAAGTTACAGGACATGGGTTATTTTAAGTTACAGGACATGGGTTATTTTAAGTTACAGGACATGGGTTATTTTAAGTTACAGGACATGGGTTATTTTAAGTTACAGGACATGGGTTATTTTAAGTTACAGGACATGGGTTATTTTAAGTTACAGGACATGGGTTATTTTAAGTTACAGGACATGGGTTATTTTAAGTTACAGGACATGGGTTATTTTAAGTTACAGGACATGGGTTATTTTAAGTTACAGGACATGGGTTATTTTAAGTTACAGGACATGGGTTATTTTAAGTTACAGGACATGGGTTATTTTAAGTTACAGGACATGGGTTATTTTAAGTTACAGGACATGGGTTATTTTAAGTTACAGGACATGGGTTATTTTAAGTTACAGGACATGGGTTATTTTAAGTTACAGGACATGGGTTATTTTAAGTTACAGGACATGGGTTATTTTAAGTTACAGGACATGGGTTATTTTAAGTTACAGGACATGGGTTATTTTAAGTTACAGGACATGGGTTATTTTAAGTTACAGGACATGGGTTATTTTAAGTTACAGGACATGGGATATTTCATGTGAGGCGCTATATAAATCTAGAATTATTATTATTATTATTATTATTATTATTATTATCATGGTACAGGACATTAGTCATTTTAAGTTGCTTGAGGCATTCTGCGACTTGGGGAGACTTGGGCCCTGTGTCAAAATAAAGTTGAACATCTGATCTTGATTGATTAATTAGTTTTTGATTGGTTGTTTAAATAACTAAATTGCATTTTTTTTTCTCTTTTAGTGCTTTGGCTGTATTTAATGATTCTGATGAAGAAATTGTCATGAATATTGAATGCAGTAAATTGGAATGAACAAGATGTAAAGTGGTTGAAAATTTTTGAATGTAAGGTAGAAAATTGGAAATACTCAGACATGCCATAGATCTGTGGAAATTCCTGCCACAGGTTAGAGTTGCAGTAATTTGACATAATATGCACTTTTGTCTAAATGCGAGGTCTCACCACGAAATGAGACGCATCGTTGGTGAAATCATATTGATATATTCACCAAAATAGGTCAAAGGCAACATTTTTACAAAATTTTGATTTTAATGTTTTTGAATAACTTGGAACTTATATTTTATGATTGTGTACTTTTTATGTGAATTTTCTTACTAAAACAGTGTTCTTTTCGTATATTCTGTAATTGTAGTCCTATTATTTGTACAGGTTAGTTTATCTTTGAGGCCGATTTTCTCAAAACCTGGTTCTCATACACCAAAACTTTAAATGCTCACATCTCTGGATGTATTTATCCTAGGGAAGCCATTCAAAGACCAAATTAAAGCTTATAATGTGATCTACCAAAATGTAATATAAACTCATTTTCTGATTTTCTAAATGATGGGACTCATTTTGTAGTGAGACCTCACAAAGAGTATGCTTCAATCATTGAACACGTTATATCGTCATTGCGGACTTATAAAATCTGCATACGCCTTAAAACTAAAAGAAAATGCATACATTTAGAGTCCGTACTGAGCCCAAAAAATCCGCAATGAAAATATAACGTGTTATAGGTTATGGTATAAACATTTGTTTTGGGCTGCTTGGTTTGAGTCTGGGATGATCACACTGATTAACTAAAGCGGACTGATACATCTTGGAACAAATGTATCGTTTGACAGAAAGTCAGCACGGGTGGACCCTTTGGTTGCGCCTGAATTGTAATAATCAAAAATGCTATGTGCAATTGTTACACCTGGATACAGTAATTTTTTGAAAAAAACCAATTGGAAAGATCTTTGCAGTTATGCTGATTCTATGACATGGTGCCCTCTAAAGCCATGGGTTCAACATTGTTCCACCTGGAATTTTTATAGGATTTAACTTATGCCAGATACAAACTACTAAAGTGAATGTTACCATTGGTAGTATTAATCTTTGTAGTTGTCTACTTTTTGTTTGTTGTCACTGACAAGATCCTTTAAAGTGTGCTACTGTAAAATGAATCAAGTATGGGTTTCCATATTATTGCTACCAAATCCTGGACAGTTGGTAGCAATTTCATGTACGCTTTGATATAATGTCAGGTGGCAAATTTTGTTGGCCAGTGTAGATTATGGCTGTTTCCGTCACTGTGGTGGACATTAACCAATAAAATTGATAAACATTATCCAGCTTATAGCTTTATTATTAGTGAGGGATGAGACAATAAAAAAGCCAAACCTTGCTGTCACTCAGTGTTCTACACTACTAGTATACAGAAACTTCATTTTGCCACTAAATTTTAAATTTTACAAATTTCAATGCATATCAATGTCATGTATTGAAATTAGCACTACTCACTTATGCTGAAAATGTTGTGGGGTCCCCCTCCCCATTTGAAAAATTCTGGATCTGCCTCTGGTATTTAACCTGTATTAAAATTCGCAATGGTCATCGAGAGTAAATTCCAAAGCAGATTGGATCAACTGATTTCATTTGAT